GCCATTCCATTACTAGGTATATATCCTAAAGAAGTGAGGGAGGGCCATGACAAGAACAGACATATGCACACCCATGTCCATCACAGCACTATTTACAATAGCCAAAGTGTCCATCAACTGAAGAATGGATAACCAAACTATGCTACATACACACAATGGAATACTATGCAACCCTAAACAATAACGTAGAATCAGCAAAACACCATGGATGAACTTGGACATTATGCTGAATGAAAAAAGTCAATCATGAAGGACAAATATGGTATTAGTTCATTATTGTAAAAGTCAAGGAAATTTTGTTTGTTACCAGGGGTGGGAGGGTAGGGTAGGGAACACTGTTAGATAGGTAGAGATAAGTAGTGATTTGGGTGAGGAGAAGGGCAATGTACCAAATATGAGTGATCAACATGGTAGCATTGAGAAAGAGGAATAGAGAGGTACATGGGAGGTGCAGACAACAAAGTCGAACCCTTTTGCACATACAGTTCTGAGCTGTCAGTGAAGGCAAACATGGGTATACAGGTGGATAGATGAGTGGACAGGCTGAACTATTAGGTATGTCTATACAGCAGGGAGTGTACCCAAGACCATGTATAGGGTTGGCAATGTTTCTACAAGTGTATTGGTATGTTCTGTAAGAATTCCCAGATATATAATAGAGCCGACAAGGGACAAGGTTGTAGTCATTTCTTGGGCACAGCCAGCTACCCAGAGGGAGCAAGTAGTTGGACCTGTGGGCTCTGGACCATAGTCACAAGGGACATCAGGCTCAACTGGCATAACATACTACACAAAACATTGTTCCACATCCTACTTTGGTGAGTAGTGACTGGGATCTTAAAAGCTTGCAAGTGGACATCTAGATGCAATAATGGATCTCTCCTCATCCAGAGCAAAGAAGAATGAAGAAAACCAAAGATTCATGGAAACAATTAGTCCAAGCAACTGGTACACCATGTGATCCTCAGCCTATATGACTACAAGACCAGAAGAATTAGATGGTGCCTGGCTACCACTGTCAACCACTCGGAGGGGGATATATGTAGGAGATCCTGGACAAAGGGGGAGAACAATGTGGAACAAAACTCAAACTTATTAAAAAAAAAAAAAAAAGTGTGTGTGTGTGGGCAGACTAGGTTTGCCAGTCTGATAGACCCTGATGGAACCACTGAGACTATGGCCCCTAGCTGCCCTTCAGGTCTAGAATTGAACCCACTCTTGTGGCTTTGGCCAAACAAAAGACAGGCATATGAATTGAACATTTACATTAGGTAGATCCACTCCTGGGAGCTCTGGTGGTGTAGTGCCTAAGGTATTTGACTGCTAACCAGAAGGCTGGTGGTTCTAACCCACCACCCACTCCTCAGAAGGGAGGTTGGGCAATCTACTTTTGCAGTGATAGTGCCTTGGAAACACAAGGAGGGGTGGCTATGAGTCGGATCCAATTAGATGGCAGTGAGGTTTTTTTTTTTTTTTTTTTTTTTTTTTTTGTAGATACACTCCTTGGAGAGAACAATCATAGGAGAATAGAAGGGCTGTGTATGCACAGGGAGACAGCTCGGGGGGCAGGAGTGCATGGAGGGAAGGACACAGGGAAGAAGTAACTATGGGGAGGAAGTAGGAGGGGAGCTGCTGCATTGTGGGAAATTGTAGTCAATGTTATGAAACAAAGTGTATGTGAGCTGCTGTATGGAGAGTGAATTTGTTCTGTAAACTTTCATCCAAATCACAATAGAAAAAAAAAACAACTAACAATTAATTGATGCATAAGAAGGTGGCATGGAAGCCAGTGGCCTGGGAAGAGAAGAAGCATAGCTGGAGTCTCTCTGCAAGGTCACAGCTGATAACATGATTGTTTTGCCTGGAAGAAAGTCAGACAAGGACCTGTAATCACTTCTCTGGAATAGCTGTCCTGCTAGGAAAAAGCTTAAAGGATGGTGCAATCATTTGATACTGTCCTAACATGCTTCAAGTAGTGAGTTTTTAACAATAAAGTAAAATGTAAATATGCCTCATTTAACGTCCATTTGGGCATGGTCTGACTGGCATGTTCATCTGTATTTTGTAAGGTTGTTTTGTTTTAAAGAGGAAGCAGCTCTCCTTCTGTTTATTATCTCTGCCAACAGTTTTAAAGATCCCAAACCCCCAGAGTAAACAAGCAGCAGGGCTCCAGTGCATATCCTGGTTTCCTCAGTGACTCTTCCTCTGTCTCCTCATGGCTTCATTCATCCACCCAGCAGCCATACAACCTTTCACTTCCAGAGCAGGTCAGTGCCTGCAGGGCTCCCCTACTCTTGCCATGGGTGCTGGCAGTGCCACCTGGCCCAGGATGCTTGCAGGCTCTGGACTTTGGGCAGTGGCAGCCAGCAGCAACACTGCACGTGATCTGGCAGTGGCCGCACCAACAGGGTGGTGACAGCCACCACCCCCTCCAGCTGTGGTCCTGGCACCCACAACCGGCTCCCTGCCTGGTTCCCACAGCCATCTTCCCCCCTTCCCCCAGCCCCATGTACTCCTAAACCCAAAAGCAAACTCACTGCCGTCTAGTTGGATCTGACTTATGGTGATCCCTTCTTGGTTTCCGTGGTGGTATCTCTGTGGAAGTAGATTGCCCAGTCTTCCTTCTGAGGAGTGGCTGGGGGGTTTGAACTGCCAGCCTTCTAATTAGCAGTCAAATACCTTAGGTACATACCACCAGAACTCCCCATGTACTCCTACATGCTCAAAGTTCTCATCTGCTCGCGGGGACAACCCTGTCCCAGCCCAGCTACACACCCAGAAGGCCAGTATCCTATATCCAGTGGATACTGCTCTCAGCCTCCTACAGGATCCCATAAGGTTTATAGTAGATTTTATGAGGATTTAACCATGGATTGTATGGGAACTGCCTATACATATAGTGTGGTGTTCCTACAATGTCCAAATTGCATGTCCTATTTCACAGAATGATTTGTGGATTGTACATGTACTTACCACAAACATCAACTAAACCACATCACTTCCCTTCTACTTTTGAAATTCAACTTCTCCTTTAAGTTGACAGGTCTAAGTCAGTCTTCCTTTGAAGAGGTAACTTAGGAAATAGGGAAATTCACTTTATGGCTTTGATAGAACTTTAAGCTCCTGTGTAGCCTGACATGCACACAATGAGCTGGAGACATTTTCCCAGTTTTGCTGCTCCACATGTGGTCTGTGGAGCAGCAGCAATTGCATAACCTGCAATCATCTTAGAATGTACGCTTGGGCTTTCCCTAGACCTTCTGAATCAGAACTTGCATTTTAATAGGATTAATTTTAATTAAAATCTCTTTGATGTGGCATGCACATTAAGACTTAAGAAGCACTGTTGTAAATTATAGCCTGTCCCTCTCCTGGTTGCTCAGCACAACTATCACACGTCACTTTAGGCAGGAGACTTGGGTGCTGGTCTTGGATTTACTCTTTGCTTTTACGTCTAGTATATACTACCTGCCCTGCCTCCTCCTCAGGGCTGCTGAACTTTGCTAACAAAGTCCTCCATGATCTGGCCCTGGGCTGCCTCAGACCTTCTTTGCCACTTTCCTTTTCCTATTGTACTCTAGCTACACTGACTGCTTGTCAGGCTCATTTCTGGCTTCAGGGTCCTTGCACTTGCATCACCTCTACCTCGAATGCTTTCTTTTGATCTCTGCATGCCTTGCTGCCTCATTATTCAGATCCCAGCCTGAATACAACCTCTTCAATGAGACCCTCACATTCTACCTAATCTAATTACTCTCTGACACATCAATCAGTTCTAATTCTCTGCACAGCACTTATCACCTACTGAACTGGGACAGTGATGGTCTTATTCCAGGTTGCAGCGTGAGTGCCTTGAACTGTACCTGGCACACTGTACACTCAATCCATATTTAATGAATGGCTGATGAGGATAAAACGACTCTGGAAAAAACAAGGTACTACATGAAACAGCAAATACTTTTATTAGCCAATAAAACCTTCCTTGCTTTCACCTAGTGATTTCTCTTGGAAATATAGCAGTATTAGACTGATTATTCTAACTACCTATATCATGTAAAGGGAAATTTGCTGCCCTGCCAACAAGCAAGAGAAGACCAGAATGCAGACTGCTTTTTGTATTTCAAGGAAAGACTTACTCCCCAACTATACCTCTTTCCTTCAGATACATCACTGCACCACCCTGTTCACATGAAGTTAATTTCATTGATCTTCTTGGAGAAAGTGAAAAACTTAAAAAAGAAAAGCTGCTACTAAGGTCACAATATAGGCTAGTTAATGGTGCTCTGCTAACAGAGCTGTGCCAGGAATGGACAGATGGACTGGAGACTTGGCAAAGTTGCCTGAGATTCAGGGAAGGATGCAGGTTAACAGCAGGGAGAACACCATTAGCCAACAAGCAAAGAACTGTCCAGAGGCTCCTTCTGTCACAAAACTGGAAGTTAATAATGGTTTTTTGGTTTAGTTGTGATTCTCAGTTAAGCATGACAGAAATTTGTTTTAACTCCAGTAAGAGAGGTTCCTAAAGGTTGGTTCACACAATCTGGTGTCACAGAAGGACCACAGCCATTTTCTGTAATCTATTTACAGTCTTAAGGTGAAAGGCACTCTCCTACCATTATCAAGTCGGGGCTAAGTACAGTCCCCTAAAGATAGGCAGTAATTTCTTTTTATGAACTATCTTTTCCTCACTTTTCTTAGACATTGCAAAAAATACCACAAAGGGAGTATCCATACATTTGCCTACCGTTTGGAATAAACAGAGCAATGGCCCCATCTGCTGATACTGGGTAGAACGGCAGAAGGTTAGGAGGACCTGTGACAATACTAGGACTCCTGCCTTCGGTTACTCTCCAATTTTCAAGTGATCCACAGCAATGCTGAGGAAAGGCTGACATCTAGGGAACTGTTTCATGATTGTGCTGAGGCACAAAGTGATAGGAGGGGGCTTTAAAACATTTTCTCCAAAGGTTCCATGTCTTCATTACTGTTTGTTTTTGGTTTTAAATTAGTTGTACTGCTCCAGAAGCAACCAGAGGTGCAATGGTTTTATAGCGGATCAAATGCTGCGAACCTTCTTCCAAGTCAATCACATAGTCCCTGAAAAAGAAAGAAAAAAATTATCTGCAGAGCTTAGTTTGTTCTCCATCAGGAGGAATATTTCCTATTGTGAAAAAACACATACGTCATTTACCTCTGTTCATCTGTTTCTGGTTCTACCAGTATGTTTTCTTGTCGTTCTTTCACTCTCAAAAACACGTATGAATCTAGATCAGGTTTGGGAACTGTCAGAAAAATAGTAAGGTAATCAGAAAATGCTCAGCTGACAAGGTCAATCTGGAAAAAGTTGCTGGGTTAATGGTATCAAGTACTAAGAGATCCCTCATACATACTCAGTTGGGGAGGATGCTATGAGGAGAGACCTGGCTTCTGACAGAACTAGCATCCAAGATTTCACATAGCAAGCAATCACTTAACACATGATGAGTACTTACAATGTGCAGGGAATTCTGCTACAAGTTGTAGAGAATGCAAACAAGAATAACACATGTTATTTTCAGATAAGGTGATAACAAGGCAGGATTTCATGAAGCCTCACATGAGTGGGGAGAAAGTAAAAGTAAGCTTGGGAGGTAAGAGCAAAGGCCTAGGCGGAAATATGCATGAAGTTTGGGGGAAGGGGGCGCGGGGAGACAGAGTATGTAAATCTAGTCAGAAATTTTTTTTTTTTCACCAAAAAATAGAAAGTATTAGAAAGTTCAAAAACCAAACTCACTGCCATTGAGTTGATCCTGACTCATAGCAACTCCTATTGAGTTTCCAAGACTACAAATCTTTACAGATGCAGACTGCCTTAGCTTTCTTTCATGGAGCGGCTGGTGTTTACAAACCACTGACCTTTTGGTTAGCAGCCAAACTGCGTTAACCACACCCCCACCAGAGCTCTGTATTAGAAAGTTAGATGGGGGTCATATGGTGATAGCCTTGACTGCTAGACAAAGGAATACAGGTTGTAATCTGTAAGTGGTCCCTCATTGGTGGATTATAAGTTAAGAAGTTGCTGACATCCTTCCCCTTCTACCACCAGCCAACATTTCAAGTTAATAAGTGTTGCATGATAGCTCATCTCCTGGAGCTGCTTGTTCACAGAGGACATCAATTTCAGGGTTACTGGATAACTCTTAGTTCTAAGAGCCCAGTTCAGGTTTTGTATTGGCCTTGGTTCCTTTATCTGTGGTAGAGGGTCCAGGATAACTGGCTCCCAAGATCTAAGGAGAATTCCTGGGGCTCTGGGCCTACCAAAAAGAGTAGGAATCAGTTGGCTACTTCTGGTTCCAGGAAACCCAACTTAAGCTTCAACACGCCTTCTCCCACCCTGCCACTGGGGTCAACAATACTCCAGAGGTCTCAAGGGGACTCAGAGCATCTGGACTAACTAAGCAAGACTGTTACTCAGCATAGGCTGGTCCCATTGTATAGCTCCCAATTTTAGAGCCCTGGCTCTAGTTCTTGGAAGGAGCCAGGACAAATGACAGGTGAGAGTTTTTGAAGGTTATTCACCAGCATCAAGTAGAAGCTCTGAGACAGATGTAGGAATTCAGATTCATCCGTTCAGTAGTTCCTTAGCTGATTTAATCATTTGGATGTGACAGGTCCTTGTTCTCTTCCTGTTCTTCCTAAGGTGCTCTTTTGGTTACCTTGTGCTGTTCTAACAGAAATACCATAGGTGGTGGCTTTAACAAACAAGAGTTTATACTCTTACAGTTTAGGAAGCTAGAAGTCTGAGTTCAAAGTGCCAAGCTCTAGGGGGTGGATGAAAGCCCCTCAACCTTGGGCTTCAGCTCTGCTTCTTGCTTTTGACCCATTGGAGGTGTAGGGATCTCTTCACTCAGGGAGCTGCTGGCTGCTAAGGCTGGCAAATCCAAGGTTGACAAGTAAAAAGGCACAGTCCCAAGATTATCAAACAACATGTCAAGCCACTAGTTTAAGTCCAGAGATAGTGCTAAGATCAGAAGGAAACATGGCAGGCTGCTGAATGAAGACTTGCCTACATGCAGGGTCCAAGTATGCTAAAATCCTCCAGAGACCTTTCTCAATGCTGCTGCTTATATACTTGAAGCAGACCACATCCCTAAGGCAACTACTCAGCTACTCCTGTAGATTCTAGCATGGAGCTAAAAACCAGTCTCATCATGGGGAATAACTACATCCAGCTGCCCAGACACTCAAAACCAGGCCCAGTCAAGTTGACACACAACTTAACTACCACATGTACAGACAAAAGTGGTTGACCAGTGAAGGAAGTGGACATGGACTAGACCTTCTGTTTCCTTCAAGCAGGCACAGAAAAATGACCAATTCATAGTTCCATAAATTTGGTATGGGTTTTAGATTATTCCAGGTGAATCACAACTCCATTCAAAGTTGTTCTAGCTATTCCGCTCAGCCAGAAAGGTCATTATGGCTCCCCAGCACAGGCTGGATCAGAGATAAATTCCTAGGACTCAGTTTGTACTTGAGTTAGTGGCCTTGGGACATTAAGCTTAGCCTGTGAACAAGATGAATTCCAGTTTCCTAGTGAATTGATTTGGTCTGACAATTTGCCTGACAAAGTCATGCTCAGATATGGCAACCTGTGAAAGACTAAAGAATACAGACTTTTACCCATAAGCCAGGTGTTCCTATTTGGTTGAACCCAGATTACTACCTTAACTCCCCTCCTCATCTCACTAGAATTTTAAGGGGACTAAGAGGTGGGTTTGAGGAGAGCCTTTGGCAGTATTTCTCTTCCCCCAACTTCCCTTCCTATAATCTCAGTATCCTAATCCTTCTCTCTCTTTCCATAACTAGAGAAATGCCTCACAACAAAATGTTCTAAGCCTTGACTACAGGTAACAAAAAAATATTAAAGATTTGCCTAATCTCCTATTTATATCCTCCATTCTACACAGTTCCTGCAGTGTTCCAGTCCCCGCCCATTCTGGAAGCTATGAGGAAAAGATCACCAGCTTCTTGAGATCAGAGATTATGTCATAGTGAGCTCTACCTGTATAATTACATGAGTAATTATATTTAAAATGGCAGTCAAACGAATTTCAGTATAACCCAAAGAACACAAAAATTGTGCTGAAATGGCTAATCTTGTACCTGTTTTTAATGATGATTTTTGTTTTTAACCAGAACTGTTCCTGTTTTCTGCCTATCTACATCCTTATTTTTTCCATATTTGAGAATGAACAGTGGGAATGAAGGAACCTGAAGACACTTGGAAAATAAACTGTGGTCCCTCAAGAATTTCTGGAAAGAGAATGTTTTGCTTACCTGACTTTAAGAGGTCCACCTTCTGTAAGTTAGGAGGCATATGCTTTAAGGCTACATTTTTTAGGTATGTCTCTGTATTAGCCATGTACCTGAAATACATAAATTTGAGTTTCTGTGATATACACAAATGATAGGAGTCACCAGGACTCTTGGAAAGACCACATGAATAAGGTTCTGAGATCACCTCCTTGAGCTCTGGTGGCATAGTGGATAAGGCATTCAGCTGCTAACGAGAAAGAGGTTCAAAACCACCAGCGTCTCCATAGAAGAAGATGGGGCTATCTACTTCTGTAAAGATTCACAACCTCAGTAACCTAATGGGGGTTGCTATGAGTCAGAATTGACTTAATGGCAATGAATTTGGTGGGTTTTGTTTTTTTTTTGGTTTCACTGATAAAACCACCAAAACTCACTCTCATGAGCCAGGGGAACAAAGCAGTTTCCACCCTTGCTGATTACTTACTCCTTTGCAAAGGCAAATTCTTCTGGAGAAAGGCTGGAAGGCTCCCTGTCAGAGCGTGTTTTCTCTTTTTCAAGGATATGAGGGAAAAACTTTTCTATCTGTGAGGATAAGTAAAAGTCAACATTAAAAAACATTTCTCAAAATTCAAATGTCAAACATTTTCTAAAAGATGTTGAGATTAATCTAAAATTTGACTTCAAAAATGCAAAGTCTTAGTGGCCAAAGCTATTTCTAAAAATAAGACCTACATACTAGACTCAAACAGGCAGGTTTCAAAGAATTCACAGACGAGATAAGGGTGCTAACAAAGAAGAAATGTAAAAGGGAAGGAGGCTTTCAAAGGAAAAATCTGAAAACACATTTGTAAATGGTATTTAAGAGGAAGAGAAAGGGATATCTTTTAAAAAAACTGAGGTAATTATACTGGTGTGTTCTTTTATGAGCTTGAACATACAGAAAAAGCTCTAAACACATTGAATATACATACACAGAGAATAGTAAAATCAAATTATAAGAAAAGATTCAATGAAGATAAAGCCCCAAATGAGGTAAGGCTTGGAATAGCATAGTGCCTAAGGCACTTGACTGCTAACCAGAAGGCTGGCGGTTCAAACCCACCAGCCACTCCTTG